GTGTTTTATTAATATCGATGAATTCCATTGAGATTTCGATTTTATTTCCATTGTTTTCTTCTCCAACAACAATTCGATTTATAGAAAGAATGAATGAATGAAGTGAAAAGAAATTTTGAATCATTCATCATCATCAAATGATGATGATAATGATAATAATGAACGACTGTTAATGAATAAACTAGAAAAAAAGAATCAATTGTCGAAACAAAAATTTCTTTCTTTTCTGATCATCTTCCCTACATTCGATTGAAATGTTTGATTTCGATTTTTTCCACAGAGTTACAATTTTTTCAATCTTTCATGATTTCAAGAATTTATCGAGTAAAATTTCCCCATTTCATTCAATGATGATGAATATCAATAGAATGAAGAGGCCACTTGAATCTATCCTGATATTCAATTGATGATGATGCCTTTGAACTAATCAATTATTGTGCTATATATACCAATAATCAGATCAACCATCATTGACTCGATAAATAATGAATAATTAGCGCTACCAAATTGTCATTTGTCGGATTAGTTTTATTTTATTTTATTTTATTTCAAAATGGCATGGCATTTATTATTGTTATCCTAATACTAAAAATAATGAAGCCAATTATGAATGTACGAAAAACACTAAAAAAGGCAGAATTATGAGGAAAATAGATTCTCAATTCTGTTATCGTATGAATTTTTCTTTCCATTTTTCAATATTGCCCAAACACAATTCCCACTCCCTTCACCAATCAATCGATATTTCAATCATCAACCGATACTTGTGTACAAGATTTGCATACACACTCACACACACTCAAAGGAAATTGATATATAACGATCAAACATGATCGACAATGACGAAATCGCGTGTCAAAGATTGTTTTGTGCCTCCTTTTTCTTTTTTCGTCCACAAAATCGAGAGAAATGAAAATGAAAATGAAAATAAAAATAAAAACAAAAGCAACAAAATCATCTACATCGATTTTCGGCGATCGACGACAATCGATTTGATTTGGAAGACAGAAGAAGAAAAACAAGACTCAAAAACGAATGCCACCTCAACCCACTCAACCGTTCATTTTGAATGATTTCACTTTTTATCTCATTCAACATAGTCTAGTCATTGTTCAAGACATGCAAAACAACCACTTTCTCTCTCTCTCTCTCTCTCTCTCGATAAAAATGAACTTTGACATGGTGCATTAAACGTTCGATTGGAATGTACGAACTGGAAAGTGAAACACAACAAAATCATCATCATCATCATCATCATATCGATTTTTCTCCATCATGGCTTTTCAACTCAATTTAATTTAAATTTTAGATTTACACTTTGAATTCTTTTCATTCAACGACAGTGTGAGAACTGGGGGCGAACATGAAAGAGAATTTAAAGCAATGAACAAAATCATCGTTCAATTCAATGGAGAAAATTGAAAAAAATTCATAATTCATGCCATACATAAAAGAAATTCTCAGTGTTTGATGTGTTATGAACGAAATGTAAACCTGTCGGCTTTTTCTTGTTCCCGGCATTCAATATTAATTATTGATCCCACATCGCGTAACATCGTAAATCTGGTTCGACATTGAATATCAAAGTTTGTTTCGGTGGATTTATCACGTCGATCTTACCTTTGTTTTCTTGGTTCTACCCAAAAAAAAATACCAAAACAGAAAATATCAATGTTGATTTTGATTGATTGATTTTCGTTTTTGGCTGATAGAGAATGAAAATAATGATAACCATGACTGAAATGAAAATAAATAAATAACTAAACAACAACAAATAGATTGGCCAAATAAACAAATATTTATAAAAATAATATACCAGACTGAGAGTGAACATAACCAAATGCACACGAACATGATGGCGAAAATTAATGATATCCCATTGTATACAATGACAGAATTGAGTTTTTAAAAAATGATTTTCGTTTCGTTCAAGCTTCAAGCAAACGAAATTGCAACACGATTCATAGTGTTGGATAATAAACAAAAAATAATGAATCCATCATCATCATCATCATTCTTTGGAAATATCGAAAAACATGGCCATGTTTAGTCCAATATTTTAACCCTGTGTATATATATTGGGAGAGAAAATGTGTCAATTTATTTTTCCTATTTCATTTCTTCTCTTTTACTTTTATTTTTATATTCGCATTCATTATTGATTCTTGATTGTGTTTGTGTGCATGTGAGTCACTCAAGAATTTTTTACTCATAAAAAAAAGTATTGCTTCGTTTGATCGAAAGTGGTCCGGAATGAAAAGAGTCAAGTCGACATTTGTATTGAAAATGGTAATGGAAATATATGTGAATGAGATTTTTTCAATGAGCATGTAAATGTAAATAAACAAGACAGCCACAAAAAGAAAAACTATTACCATTATTATTCCCATTATTATTAATGATGATTATGAATCGATTATTTTGTTCCTTTTTCCAGTCCTATTTCGTTTCATTCATGAAAAACTATTAGTTGCCTGTGGGTGAAATAAATAAAGAAATAATAGCTTCCAAAATTTTGAACCAAAATAAATGAGCCATCATCATTTTGCCTCGGGCTCTGAGTTTTCGCACGTGTTGTGTGCGTGTGCATGATTCTCTCATTAGTTGTGTGAAACATTTTTTTGTCCAATTCATAGTCACTACTTATCATCATTATTATTATCATATATCTGAATGCCATAGTAAAATGATGATTATGAACGAAAAGTGGTCAGAACTATTACCGTACTGTTGGGACGAAAGTGAATCGAATTTTTTACTCAATTTCATATTTGGTATTCACGAAACCAACATAAACATTTTTTCGGTGGTTAATGCTTTGTTTGGTTGCTATTGGAAAAAGCCTCTCCACGGATGTGATCACAGAGATAGAACAGAAGAACTGAAATCTTCATATGAATAATGAATTAGATTATTATGACCATGATGATGATGATGATGATTGTAATCATATTGATGGGCCAATGAAATTCACAAGAAATTCTTCTGTCCATTTCTCAATGAAATGAACCCTTACCAATGGAATGCAATTAGTTGATGATGATGATGATGGCTGTATACTTTATTTTGAACGTTATGACAACCATCATTGGACAGTCAGCCATAATGGAAACAAATATTATGGACCTATGGGCAATACCATATACTGATATTATCGCAACAACAAAATTGTCGAGATTAAATGATGATGAGATGAGATGAGATGTTATAGAACATATAGAAAATTTAGTTTACCATTTCATTTACCATATCATTTATTCATCACATCGTCATCGAATAGGTTCACTTATTTGTCATCCAATTTCATCATTGTCTTCATTTTTTCTTTTCTGAAGCAATGATTTCATAGAATAAAATCATCCGACTCATTTTATTCAGTTGAAAAACTAAAATGAATAGTGACAATGAAATAAAAACATTAACAGCAATAGTCATCGGGTAAATGATCAAATGAATGTAACATTTTCTTTACTTGCTTTTCTTATGTTGTGTTCAGGCATCCTGAAAATAGGCCTCAAGCTAAAAGATTCTTTCAATTTTCTTGTAATTTTCCTATTCATGTTGTTGTGCACTGAATAAATGGATGTATGAATAGATGGACCAACTTAATAATCGTCGTCATTGGGAGCAAAATAGCTTGTTTTCATTCGTTCATTTCCTTAGGTATTGAATGAACATATTTTTTCCAATGATAACGACATGATGATAGTGACTTTTTCATTCTCACAATACAACAACAACAAAGGGAAATGCTAAGATTTCATTTTCCATTTTTACTATTTTTTTGATCGATTCAAATTCGAATTTCGTTTCTGATGATGACCGTATGGTGAATGCTATGAAGAATTTGTCGTAACATGGTCATCAATTGTCAAACTTGATTTGTTTCAACTATAAACTCCAGGCAACAGATGTCACGCGAATAGAAGAATCCATATGTTGACTCTGAACACTCACAAAGGACGTGCACCAGTTTCAAACATCACATATATTAGATGATTAATTGGTTGTTCCGACAACATCAAGACAGAGTGAGAGAGAGAGAAAGAGAGAGAGAAAATATCAAATCGATCACCAAAAACAACACACAACTTACAAAAAAAAAAAAAAATTTGTTTTACATGCTACCAAAACCAGAAAAAAATTCTAGAGAAAATGTTGCAAAATTTTCTTTTCGATTTTCTGCATCCGTAAACACTTTTTTTCACTATCAAGTTCGTCAATCAAATAATTCAAGGTTCTATATTTTACCGACAAAACTTTTTTTTTTTATTTGTTGTTGTCTCTACTTGCATTCTGATCAATCAACTCTACCGTTATTAATGATACCGGGATCAAGTGAAAAAGAGAAAGAGAAAGAGAAAGATGAACACAAATTTTTCTTATTTATTTCATTTTTTGTTTGGACATGAGAAAAAACGAAATTCTCAACTTTTTTGATATTCATTCAGTTCATTCGTTCATTGGTTCATTCCTAGGAATAGATTGCTAGGTCTTTTAATGATGAAAACTTCTTTCTTTCTATTCGTTTGTTGTTTGTTGTTTGGAGTCTTGCCCCATTAAAATGATGACATTTTCACTAGATGATATTACACTTTATCATCATCATAAAATTCTGAGAATTTTTTACTCACGAAATAAGAAAAATGTAGGAATATCAGTCAATGACTGAAAGAGAGGCCGACAATTTTCATTTCCATTTTCCTTTTTTTCACACTTTTCTAGTTCTTATTTTTGTCGGTTTCTGGATCTTATCATTAGTTTTGAAAATGAATTGAATGTTGATATTTTTTTTTCGTCGTCACCATTGTTGTTGTTGTTGTTTTTTTGTTGGATGTCATGTGATCCATAATTCATAATTCATAATGATGATGATGATAACTGACAAAATGAAAAATTTCTGTAAATTGAAAAAAACAAACAAACAAGTCATTAATGACAATTTTTTGTTACAAATTTTATTCACTTGGATAATTGAAAATTTTTTCTTTTGCTTTCAGGATGTATTCATAATTTGTTTTGCAAACAATTGGCCAAATAAAAAATGTTGCATGCAACGTAAGCATCAGACACAACAACAACGAAAAAGAAAATCGAACCAAATGAATGAATCAAAAACACATCAGATAATCTAGAAGAAATCAACTTTTTATTTCGAAAAAAACAACAAAATCGACACAACTAACTTGAGGTAAGTGATGCAATTTTTTGCCATCCACTTCCGTATATGTGTGTGTGTGTGTGCGTTTCCGGTATTTGTGTGTTTGTTGACAAGGCTGAATTCTCATTTTTTCTCTTTTCAACTTGTCTATTGTAACGAATGAAACGCTGAATGCATGGTCCAATGAATGTGTGTGTGTGTGTGTGATAATCGTTTGGTCACTAATTAATTTGCTTTGTTTCTATTTTTTGTTTGGTAACACTTGGTGTTTCGGGTGAATGTATTGGCAAGTTCTCGGTTTCAACTGAATAATCCATTTTTGATTTGTCAAAAAAAATTTCATCCATGCACTAGTGATGATGATCGATATTCGGCTCCATGACGTTGATGATGATGATGAAATCCGGAAGCAAAGATGGTGGCTGTCATCAGCATAAATCTGTTATCTCCATCGTTGTTTTGATATTCGGTCATTAAATGGAAATTTTCGCATCAATGCATATCTGCCATAGATGAAATTCATAGTCCACTATTTCTATTTTTGTTCAATTAATTTTTCTATTTAAAACGACAACTGCCATGTTGATGGTGATGAAAAAGGCTATAATTTTCTTCAAATTAGACGTTTATGATCGACAATTTTTTTCTTAATGTTCGGTGTCTATCTAAAAGAATCTCAAGAAATGCAGTTGTCACTCCCCTCTCTCTTTGAAGAATTGAGATTTTTCTGTCTGAAAGTGCCATCTTGATTCATTTTCCTATCAACAAAATGAATGTCTGTCTGATTTGTTTGAGAACCAGTAATTTGTTTCAAATTATAATTTATTAGTAATAGTAATCGAAAAGGTTATTTTCATCTCATCTGATTTTTTTCATTTCATTCTAATAATGCATAACATTCATGGCTGAAAAGAATGAGAGAAAATGATCCTTCAAGAAATGTAGATGATAACACACATACACATGCACAGCATTAATATAATTAGATTTAACTCTTCATTATCTCATTAATTATCATTGTATCGGTTGCCGTTTTTCAATTTTTTTTATACTTTTCACTTGTGTAGGTGTGTGTGTGTGTTTGGATTATTTCAACCATTCACACAACATGTTCATGTTGAATTAGTTTTTCTTTCTTGACAATGAATTAATGAAAAGTTCCGGAACAACAAAAACAACGTCAAAAATTCTGGACCAATAAACAACGAATAAATGAATGAATGAATGAATGAATATTTTTGCCTGTTATCTTTTCTGTTGAATGATTTTAATTTTAATGGCAAAATTTTCTTTGTTTTTCATGTTTGATTTCAAATCATGAAATTCTCTGATTCTATAATAGTTTGATAACAATCAGTAAATTATTCACCCAGATGAAAAAAATCTACAATAATAATAATCCGATGGATGATTTAATAAATTTTTTTCGTTTTTCAGTTTTTGTTACCGGGTATTACCGTTCAGCTTTTTGTTTTTTGTTTTGTCAAGATTTTCTTATCACATATTTGTTGATAAAAATGAAAAACAAGAACAAAAAAAATACAGGAGGCATAATATGAAAGTTAATTCGGTTGATGATTAAGACCTAATCTATAATAATAATGCTGATGGTGATAATGATTCCATTATGATAATTAGAAAATACTAGTACAGATTCATTTCAGTTTTTCGTGTGAAATTTCACAATTTTTTTGTGTGTGTGTGTCATTTGTTTTTATGGTCATGGTCATGTGTCCAATTCGTTACGAAAAAGAAACTTTGAAACAACCACATACAACTTTGACTAGTCCGATTTACTTTTTTCCAATCTAATGAACCAGAAACGATAAAGGAGGCAACTATGTTTTAGAACACTCACACACAGGAAAGAAAAAGAGAAAATTCTTTTTCAGTGAATCAAATTAATAAAAGCCAAACATCTTTTTTGTTTCCATGGAAATTCAATTTCAATTTGGTTTTTTCTTTGTGATCGTTCTCTATTTTCATTCTATAAGTCTGTCACCGATTCACTTGATTCGGATAAAAAAGAGAAAAATCTGATGGACAAAAAGGATTTAGCAATGTCCATCGTGATCATCACGACCAAAAAAAAAACACAAATCCAATGAAAATGAATTGAAATTTTATGATAGCCGCTAGTGTTTATTTTTTCCTATTCTCATAACATTTATTCATCATTGTGCAACTAGATAGTTTCGTTTTATTATTATTATCACTATAAAGCTACCATATTCAATTCTGTTTGTTTGATATTTGATGTTTGATGTTTGATGTTTGATGTTTGATGTTCCATACATTTAAATTGCCAAAACCATATACATCATATGGCACAATCAGTTTTTATTACATTTTTATATTTCCATTTTGGGAACCATTATTATTGTTGTGTGATAAATTCAGGGTTTTTCCATCATAATTCGTCATATAAAATATGGATCAATATATTCATTTGATATTCGAAACAAACCAAACGAGATCATTGAAATTCATTTTTTCCGAGAGAAGCGTTTAAAACGATATCATTCTCACAGATGAGCACAATGGAAAGTAATCGAAGACGTTTCAAAATCGAATGAAAAGATTCTATTTAAATAAATTTCGCAACACACAAACAGCAAATCAAAAACTATGAAACGTGGTTGTTGAACTCAAGCCAAATGTTTTTACATAGAATAAGATCATTTATATACCACTTTGACTCATCAACAAAACGATATCACGTGACTGTATTTGTTTATTTATTTTTCCCATTGGTATTCGATTAGAAAATCAACTTTTCCTCAATATTCCTCAACAATGATTCATCGAATTGAATTTTTTTTTGTGTCATTTCCTTTGTTTCATTTTCATCCATAAATTATCCTAAATGTGAATTTTTTTTATTTTGTGTAAAATATCATCGTTGCTAATTTTGATTGTTGGTTTGAGAAAAAATTTAAAAAAAATGCGCTACAAAGTTTTCATTCTTTTCTTTCGAAACACATTCCTAAGAATTTCCTCGAGTTTTCTTTAACTTTTGAATATCATGGTCTTGAAAACAAAAAGAAACAACAATCATAATAATGTTTGTAGATAGGGAATGTGAATACTTTTTTGTGGCACATTTTTTTGTTAATAAAAATTAATGAGTTATTAACATTCCAAGGAGTTATGCAATGGAAAGACAAATATTTCACTTGTCAACGACAACGACACCAGTAATAATAATAATAAACGATTATTAACTTTAATTTTCAGATTTCCATCATCATCATCATTCATGTGAATCACTTGAATCGGAGATGAATGTGTGTGTGATCAATACAGAGAGAAAAGTTTCGCCTTTCGAGTAAGCACACCTCTAGCTTTCTTTTCGAGAGAGATAAAGATGTTCAAGATCGATCGATTTTGATGATTTCAATGAAGACCGAATAGCAGAAAAAAGTGTGAGAGAGAGAGAAAGCAATCAACCAATTGATATCATCCTATCAAATATCATCATCATATTTATTTATATGGAACAAATTGGAATGGTTCTCACTCTCACTCATATTTACAAAAAAAAGTCCAAAGAATCGAGAAACAAAAATGTTTTATTTATTAATATGAAGTTGTATAACTTCTTTTCAGCTTCATCATCATCATCATCATCATCGAAGATGAATTGAATGAAAAAAAAAAAAAAAAAACGACAGCCATTGATCAACATTTGATCAGTCTACAAAAATAAAAATAAAAATAAAAATTAAGTCGATAAAGTTTGGTTTGACGTTTGACGATCGAGAGCGAGAGAGAAGCGGGAAACTTTTTTTCGGTTCATTTTCCAGAATCTAGTGATCACATCACATCATTCGGAAAAAACGAATAAAGAGTTGAACAAAATGAATTATTGAAATAATAAAAAACGATACCGATTTTTTCGCCATCTATTCCTTTTTCTTTCTTTCGGTTTCACTTTCCATTTTCGTTTTTTTCTGACTTTAACTTTTCAAGTTTGAAAACCAAACATTAAACGGAATAGAGCGAAACGATACAGGAAAGCTGATCGATTACTTTGATGCTCGATTCTGAATGTGTGTGTGTGAAGAAATCGAACCAATTTGGATCAATTTCAAATGTCTTGTGTATGTGTTATTGTCCAAATTCAATTCGTTCGACTATAGCCACATGAAAACTTTCCAAATACAAATGATGGAAACATTTAAAAGAATGATTGAAGGAAATGAGAAAATTTTTCATTTTATTTCTATACGAATGATCGAATTTTGGTGATGATGATGATGATGATGATGTCATTATTGTTATATGTGTGTGTGTGTGGATACTTTTCCGATACAATTGTCTTTCTTGTTCATCAAATAAAATTCAATGATGATGAAAAAACTAACAAATTCCCATTCCAACAACAATACGATAGTTTCCGAGGAAAAAAATAATGTTGCATGACGTTTCAATTTTAATTGGTGTTGTCCATGGCTATTTTGACCAACCATCATCATCACCATCATCAACAACAATACGAGATAAGTCAATCGACTTTTGTGTGGGTGTGTGAGGGGATTCGATGAAAATTTCACATTTCTTTTTATCCATTGTGTTTTTTCATCCCTCCAACATTCGATATACTTTTAACCGAACCATGAAAGAATAAAAAATCTTCTCGGACAACATTCAACTAATGATTTATTATGTTTCGTTAAATGTTTGTTGAGGGTAGAACGAAGCGGAATCGAACCGATTCCGGACACTGTGAACTGGCTTTCCATCATATAACTAACATTTCAATTTCATTTTCTTTTCTATATTCAACAATCATTTATCCGAATGAGAAAAATTAATTTATCATCAATATTTGATCTGTCAGACAGTCACAAAAGAAACGTTTGATTTAATTGGAAAAAACTGTTTCAACCAATAAAAAGATCATTGAATCAAAATTTCAATCATTGAACAATGTCCATATTTGTTGACCAGAATCTGAGTGAAAGATGTAGAAGATGTCTGAAATCATTCGATGGAGATGAAATTTTAAAACAATGATTCAACAATCG